CAGCTCCAGCTCCAGCTCATCTAAACTAACTTTCCCTCTTTCCCCCCAAAGGACAATTCATACCATCTCTGATGCCGTCCTACAGACTGGCAAGCAGGGGTTTCCCTACAGCCACAGGGAACAGAAGAACATAAGAACGGCCAGACCGGGTCAGACCAAAGGTCCATCCAGCCCAGTGTCCTCCTTCCGACAGTGGTCAATGCCAGGTGCCCCAGAGGGAGTGAACAGAACAGGGAATCATCAAGTGATCCATCCCCTGGAGTCCATTCCCAGCTTCTAGCAAACAGAGGCTAGGGACACCATCCCTGCCCATCCTGGCTAATAGCCATTGATGGAATAAGGGAGATCGTTAAAATGAAAGCCCCATTCATGCTGTTACCTCTTTATGCCAAGTGGTTCACCAGGACTTGTGGGGCTGTTTGCACTGGGAGGAGAAATCAAAGATATAAGACATGTGATAAGACGGTGTGATCTTGTCTAGTTACACAGAGCGCACACACTGTCCTGATTTGCTGAACACAGCAGAAACAAACAGCCACAGGCAGTTTCCTTCCTCCAAATCCCCATGCCTGCCCCTCCAGCGGGCTCTGTGCCCATGAAGCTCTGTCCCTCGGCTTCCTCCAAGGGCTGGTCTACACTAGACTTAGGTCGACCTAATTACATACTGGGTGATGTAGTCAAGCCGACCAAAGTCCCAGTGTGGACACGGCCAGGTTGACAGAAGAACTAATGAGCCGGAGGCCGGGGTGGGGAACGTGGGGGATTTCCCTCATACACACAGGGTCATGGGAAGGGAGGAAATTGCCTCTGCCTTCTTCTAAGACCCTTATTGTGGCCCAGTCTCCCCCACACATACCCTGTGTCTCTCCTGGAAGCTCTACGAAGAGACTCCTGCTCTAGATCAGAGGTGGTGTAGAGAGTAGCAAGCTTGAGGGGTATGGGGTTATTGCTCCCTTCCCTGTGGACTTGCGGAGATCTTCAAGGTGGGAGAAACCCCAGCAGGCTGATTGGGAGCTATTAACCATTCCAAGCACTTCATGGGAATCTTCTTCTTTCTCTAAGGGAATTCTTTGGCTTCTTGTTGAGAAAATACAAACCCTTTTGTAGGATTTCACGTGTCACACATTGTCTGGGCCCTTCTGTTCCCAGAAAAGCAGAGGGGTGTCTCTCCTGGCATTACTATATGGGCAGAGTTAAGGTTATGTGCTTGTGGTGTGGGGAAAGTGTCACCTTAACTCTGTCTCTCCCTTTTCCTGCCCAAACTCCCACTGCACCTTCACATGTGAGCTGACATCTAGCTACTGTCTAAACTAACCGTACATGGAATATCTCATTGCTTTTTCCCAGGCAGACTGAACAGTGCACTGGAGCTGCCATGACTGCGTTAGATACTAAAGAGCTTCCCAAGATACTTAAGGAGCATATGGAAGCACTGAAGGCTGCTGTTGGGGAAGGAAACTTCACCGAAGCAGCTGCTAAAGCGAAAGAGGCTCTGGAGATGGGTGATGAATTCACTCTCAACATCGCTGTCACGGGGGAGGCGAGCTCTGGAAAATCGTCCTTTGTCAACGCCATCCGGGGCCTGGGGGATACAGATAATGGTGCTGCTGCGATAGGGGTCACTGAAACGACAATGGAGCCCACTCCTTACCGACACCCTAAATATCCAAATGTAACAGTCTGGGATCTGCCAGGGACTGGGACACCAACGTTTAAATCAGACAAGTATCTCGAGAAGGTGGAGTTCAGCCTCTATGACTTTTTCATCATCATCTCCTGCACCCGCTTCAAATACCACGATATTCAACTCGCCCAGGAGATCCAGAAACAGGGGAAGCAGTTTTACTTTGTGCGCTCCAAGGTGGATCTGGATTTGACAAATGAAAAACAACACTATGATGTGGCGGGAATCCTGAAGCAGAGGAAAGCTTCCACGGAAAGGGCACGTCAGTACAGTGAGAGTGCGATCCTCGATCCCATCAGAAAGGACTGCATCAAACAGCTGAAAGCAGGAGGGGTGGCCTCCCCCCAGGTTTTTCTTGTATCTAGATGGGAGTTAGGCGAGTACGATTTTCCCAAATTGCAGGAAGTGCTAGTGGATGAGCTCCCCGGTCACAAGAGACGCGCTCTCCTACGATCCCTGTCCAAGATGGTTAAAGAAACCTTGGAGAAGAAAAGAGAACAACTGCAAACACAGATATGGCTGAAAAGTCTGGTGTCATGCGGAGTCGCTGCTATTCCTATCCCAGGTCTCTCCGCTGTTTGTGATGTTGCCATGCTGGTGACGTCGCTGAAAGAGTACTGCAGGGACTTCGGCCTTGATGAAAAGTCTCTCGCTGCACTTGCTAGACAGGCTGACAAGACCATTGCAGAGCTGAAGGCCATTATAAAGTCCCCACTGAGTGAGGAAATAACAAAAGAGCTTGTAATTATGCTACTGACCAAGTGCGGAGCTGGGGCAGTGCAATATTCAACCATTTTCTTAAAATTTATACCTGTGGTAGGTGCTGTGGTAGGTTCTGTGGCAGCTGCAGCAGTTTCGCTTCCTACCACAAAGCTCATGCTGCAGGATTTCCTGGATAATATTGCTGCTGACACTGCACGAGTTCTGGAGGTGGTTATGAAGGCAGCCATTTCAAACTCAGAGAAAAT